CATTGGGATCAAATCTATTTGAGATCATTTCAAATGACTGCCTCTCTCATTGTCCTTGAGGATTTCAGATGACAATCTAGTCTTAAGCTTATATCAAATCTAGTTAGTGCACAAGCAAAAGATTTTCTTGTTATTTTTTTTATAGATTTTTTATCATCAAATATTGAATTTGAAATCATCCAAACTGGTGTGTGATTTCGTCCTCTGAGTTGAGCTTCCAGATAGAGCAGACCCACTTACAAGAATCTCAACCTCCCACCTCCCCCATATATTGGATCAGACGAATATATATGCAGCAATTAGTTGACTTTTCATTCTCATCTTTGGACTTTGGAGCCATAATATATAAATATGTATATCTCTACCCGTGAGGATTGACCTTTAATCACTTTCACCATGGTTCTTAATTATGATTACGTACGAATCTACTTAAGAAATATAGATGCTTTCTTTTCATTTTTTCTAAGATGTTTCCCATGAGGCGAGAATAATACATACGAGATTCATTTTTTATTGATGTAGGGTAATGTTCTTATAACACTTGTGTTTTCACACAATCCTTAATATATTGTTAAATTGTGAATTTGAACCACACATTCGAATAAAAAGCAAGATAAACCGTCTGACAGAAAAAAAACGAATTTGTGAATCTCTTGACCGGTCTTTGTTTGTTTGAATAATACTCAATGGCATCACTAGTTATGTGTATCCTTCAACAATTATTGAACCAAGATTAATAGGTATTGAGCATGACCAATGAGCTATGCAAAAGATTAAGATATATTAATAGATATATATAGAAGTGGTTATGAAAATCCCGACATCCCTCGCCAAAACCGTGTTTTGCTCTCTCATTCGATCGTGGCTACGCGTTTCTGAGTTGTACACAAGCTTGCACATCACCTGCTAACGACAGCAGTGAGCTCAACCCCCAAAAATTCTAAAAGTACTTACAAGACTACAAGAAACTGGTGCTCAAGCCCTAAAAACAAATACCACCGCCAGCAGACAACACGAAGACCAGACAAATGACCAAAGTTTCCAAGAAACTGCGCATTGAAAAAGAAGTAGAAACAAGTTGCCAAGAAGAACTAAAAGACTAGTGCAAGAGGGGTTTATAGATATTTTTTTTTGTCTTTTGGAATAGATTGATTAATTCAAGTTGACCACGACAGCATTCTTGGCAGGCAGCTTTTCCATTTCTTTGTAGACGTACACTTGCAATTGCTTTTTGTTCGCATTTGAAGCTTTTATCTTATTTTGACATAGGAACTTGCGGTTGGCATTGCATTTTCAATCGAAAAGTGCCCATTTCTTCGCTCTCTAATAATTGTCTAGTACTTTAAAGGACAATGGATATGAAGACAATGGATATGATATTTTGTTTTTTTTAGGCCTACCACTTAATCAAGAAAATGAAGAAAGAACCAAAAATAAATAAAGACAATTGAAGACCATAGGTGTTATAACTCAAGCCAAGTTCGATTAACTAACTGTTAGTTTACTGGTATATCTATCTTTCCGGTGTTTAAAGAGGTCATAGGCAACATTTAAGTAGAATGATTCAAGTGATATTTCCAACACTCAAATCAAACATATATATATTGTGGTTCATTGTACTTGCAACTTGCAAGTTCAAACAAAACTTGTTGATTGATAAAATGGACAGAGACCGTTAAATATGGAAGGCACCAAGAAGATTAATTGTGACAGCAATAGCATGTGTTGTACTAGTATCATAGAAATTACAACCTCCACAATACCGTAGAGTGGACTGTCCTTTTTCATGTGTATCCGACTAGAAGACAACTAGAGATTCTAAAGAGTTGGCTTTTCTTTTGGTCGAATTCTAAAGAGAATTAGCTAGTTGTATCCTTTGCCTGTTCTCGCATATCATGTTATACCATACATTCTCAATCACAACGACGACGTTTGATGAAAAGTTTGATCTTTATTTTGTCCTTGCTCAGTACGAATTAAGGTATGAGTTGAATGGACGGTGCTAGGCGTCGTTAGAGACAATCGGAATTGTTTCCCATTCCAATCAAACTTGATTTTTTTTCCCCTCCTTTAGTAATCGATCAAGGATAACAAGACAGTGAAATGACAAGGAATACTTCTACTTTCACAACCCATCTTGTCTTGTGGCTAGCATCTTGTCTCATTTCACATAATCGTGGACATTCACCAAAGATATCGCTTGTTAAAAATAGTTTGTACGTACGTAAGAAGAAGGAAAAAAGTCAATTATATTTTAGAGTCGCCTAGATCAGAGCACCCAATAGAAGAAAATTACAAATTGTTACACACCTTCTATTTAACTATCAACTTAACTGATATTTTGTAGCGTGGCACTCAGTAGGTCTTCAAGTTCAAATTAACCGATGTTATAGGTCTTCAATTTGTAATTAACCGTAATAAGAGCTTTTTAAGTGGCCTGGCTTCCTCGATATCCTCTTCTTTCCTACCAATAAGCTAGATACATTTGCCGCTCTCATATGAAAATCAATCCCTAAACTCTCCTTTAATAAAGTTGATTTTGACCCCTTAATGTAACGTTTCTTAGAAATGCCATGAAGCTTAAGAACACAAGATGTTTTTCTTTTTTATTTCCTTTCTTGTGTTCTCGAGTTGGTCCACATATTATATATACCTTTTAACATAAGAGGTGGTGGTGAGTGCTTGAGTGGGTATAAAGGGTACCCACATGATTATAAAATATATAGTTGGAACTTGGAATCATTTGGCATGAAAACGATAAGGGATCTTGGATAGACGACCCTACCAATTACAGCAGCTTTCCTTTTGGTCCCCTTAATTTCAAAGATTCCCATTGTAATTCAGCAATAGGTAAGTTCCAGAAATCTAATCACAGCCTATAGAAGCTAGCTGTTAAAAAACTATTGTCAATTACAGCATATTCACTTCCATCAAATCCCTAGGCTTATGTCCCTCCCACGTTGCAGGTTCTTTCACCTTTCGATGTTGTCCAAGAACGTGATTGATCTTTATTTGTACTTGAAATTTGATCAATAGAAAGGGCTCCCCGCGTTGATTATGTGTGACGAATTCTATATACATAAACAACTGTTCACGCAATATAACACATCAAGTTCAATTTAACTCAAAATTTAAAATCAACATGTTTATTAGTGAGTCGTTCTTCTTGTTAAAACTCAATCTAATCTGATATTTCAAATTCGGTCTTCAAATCGAAACATCTTTGGTTCCTTAAGTTTTCATTCTTCATGTCAAACCTAATTCCATTCAATAAACTTTGATTATATTTCAACTCTTTCCTTCTGAATTTGTTCGCATTGGTACTCAACTTTAGAATCGAAGCTAAATGCGCACACACATTTGGAAATTCCCAAATCCCCAATCTCATATATACCATAGCAAATTAGCAATATACATTTGAAAAAGAAAAGGGGAGAGAGAGAAGGGAAGAGCTCATGTCAAAAAGACGTACGGCACACAATGAAAAAGGCCAAAAAAAAAGAAAGAAAAACCACCTCTCTCTCTGCTGACTCATATACATTACACAAGAAATGGGGCCCAAAGCTTATTGGACGACTCTCACTCACATATATGGATGGACCCCAACAGTCTCTTTTTACTATTACCATCACTTCTCATGATTGATTATTGATGATTGATGATTGATTTGCAGGCGCGCCTCACAGCGCGGTACGGACGGACTCCACAGAAAGGTGAAAGGAAGAAGGCCTAGCGAGAGCGTGCAAGCAGAGAACCTTTTCCAACTTTTTAAAGCAGCAGCCACCCAGCGCGGATTTCTAAAATGCTTCCAACTGTACGGCCACCCAAGTAAAAAGGCGAACTTAACCACCTGACAACGACCTCTCACCGTTTCTTTTTGTTCTTTTTCTGATTTCTCTTTTGTTTTTTTTTTTTTTTTTTACCATAGAGTCACAGCCGATGATAAAGATGAGAACAAATTGAGAAAGAAAGAAATATAAAAAAGCTGCAGCCTGCCACGTGGGATCATGTCGAATGGAGCAGAGCATACTCCCTCTATCTAACGGGTTGCGGTGGCCACGGCGGGTATAGATGTGGCAAGAACGGTCGTGGTGGTAGTGGTGGTGGCGGTGGAATGGAAGAATTGTGGGCATTGGGTCTACAAGGAAGTTACCAACCATCCTCTTGGCGGGTCTTGCCACATGTTTTTCCCATGCTTGATCCGCCTCCACGCGGTGCTTTAAGAATACTTCTGTGGCGTCGAGGCGATGCATGTTCCAGTTTCGTCGGCTGCAGAGCCGACGAATCTTTTGCAGTTGGCGGTGTGCCAAAATGCAAGTGTTTTCTTTAATTTTAGAAATAGCTGTTTGAAGAAGCCTCTCTTGCGTTTCCTCATCGTTGATACCAGAAGCCTCGCCCCGCAAATACTGATCCATTTCAGGCATGCCTATAGCCTTCCGGATTCCGTGCGTATATTCTGCTTCAGCAGTGGAATCGAACATTCTCCTCACCTCATCCACCAAACCCGCCTTCACCATCCGATCCACTCTCTCGGATACAAAAGAGTTGAGCACTGGCAGCGCCACATCTACCCATATAAAGCAACACTCGTACTTCATTCTGAACTCGGGGTGGTCGTCCACCAGAGCTTCGATGTAGGAATTCGAGCCACCGGCGATGATGGGGAGCCTGTCGCGCTCCAAGATCGATTCGATAGCCAAGGATGCATGCTGCTTGAAATCATTGGCTGTGAAGTTGAAGTTTGGATCGATTTTTCCAAGCAAGTGATGAGGTATGCCTCTACACTCCTCTTCAGTGACTTTGTTGGTGACGATGTCCAAGCCCTTGTAGACTTGCATTTTGTCCGAGTTTATAATCTCAGCACGGTAAAGGGTTGCGAGGTCTATGGCAAGCCTGGACTTGCCAGTCCCGGTGGCTCCCATTACAAAAACAACCTTATCTTTTCGCCGGAAAAATGGATCCATGTTGATGCTGGGCAAGCCAGGAGGGCCTTGGAAGCTCAACATAGGCTGTACTTGCTTGCAGGCAGGCATGGAAATTTTCATTGTAATTAATAGAAACCTGCCAGGTTGACCCAAAAACACAGGTAAGATTTCAACTCTGTGGAAAATTAATTTATACACAAAATTACACATGGAAGCAAAGCATGCCTCATCACATGATTTTTTGGACCACTGTACCTTTAAAAAAACGCGGCGACTTGGTGATATAAAAATGGCCTGGCACTGGCAGGCACAAGAGCTTCTTGCTGTAGAGAAAGAGAGGAGAGAAAAACCAGAGACAGAGAGATGCTGGCTAGCAAAAAGTTAAAAAGAATTGTGAGATGGGTTTTGTCTCTAGGTATATATGCAAAGTATTTACACCTGGCGGAAAAAGAAGAAAAAAACACTGTTCGGTTTGTGAGAAAATGATTTATGACGTCAAGTGGATTGGTTTGATCTGCTCGTCCAGCTTGAAGTTTTTGAACCTGAATGGTCACTGCCTGATCGCAAAAGAGATGAGAGCTTGGTATTTATGGTGGTGGGAAAAGGCTAAGGCAACCGAGGGTGGTATAGGGTTGTCTTGTGATTTCAATTGATCGCAAGACACATGTATATTTTTGGATGAAATATTTTGGGCGTAGAATCAATGTTTTATAGTGTGAAGCTAAAGGTTAGGTCAAGGGACTAAAGTGAGTCTGATTTAGTGTTTGAATATCCTTAAATTGGAATAATAATTATTATTATTATTATTATTATTATCTTACAGGGACCACACAGAAAGTGTTGATCGGCACAACACAATATTTTCTGGGTTACATGTACCAAAAATTGACGGGGTCTGTTAATTTGGTGAAAAGGGAAAGCTAGCTACCTACCTACAAAACGGCCATTTTAATGGGTTATGGAGCTGCCTGTATATTAATTTAAATTAAAATACTATTTTATGTGAGTCAACTCAAAGTAGGAAGAGTGATGTGGTTCACAGTATGATTCCGTTTTTTTCGAATAAAGCGATAATTCAATGTCATTTTTCATCGAGTTAGAGCCTTAACGAGTATAATTCTCTCGCACATGCACTATTTATTTAGTCATGTAACTTTTTTTAATTTGGGTTTAGGTTGTCTTTATTCCCCATTAAAAAAAATTAAGAACACGTACGAACGATGAAAATTTGGTGGGAATGGAATGGCATAGTTGTTTTAAAGAAAGCAGTGGGCAAAAAGAATTTCCCTTTTTTCATGGTTTTGATACCTAAATAAATAAACGTATATATTTTTGGTGAAGGGACAAGCTAGGTAAAGTTGTAGCCCATTTGTTTCTGATAGTTCACTCCTTATCCAAAGGCCTTTGAATTGATGCCTGGTAAATTATAATTATTCATTAAAGAAACATCGATCGTTCCACAAATTCAGAAAAGGAAAAAAAAAGTTGAGAAGAAGACGATAAAATATACGTAGGTATTGCATACAAGATGCGCATAATTGCCTCCGTCAAGATGAGCAAGAAAGTTGCTCAAGCTTAATCAAATCAAACAACTTCAGTTAATTTTCTTTTTGCTCATTTGAGTTGGAATGGATATGAAGCATTTGGAAAACCAATTTAATTTGATTGGTCGGTTATTAGATTTTAGAGAACCGACCAAAAAAATAAATACAAATTTATAAATAAACCCAATCCTAGACATGTATTTATAAAAAAACTCAAGCACTATTTAAACATAGAAACACACCCAAAATCAACCCAAAAGTCAACTTTTTGAGTGTGTTTATAAATGGGTTTTGAGTGTGTGTAATGATGGGTTTTGGGTGTGTTTATATGTTTAAATAGTGCTTGGGTTTTTTTATAATTTCAACCCTCATTTTGGGTGTTTTAGTGAAACTCCCAAAAATAAATGTCTCCAATTACATTTTTTTAAAATGGAAACAAAAATTGCTATATATGTCACAAGTTTAGCGTAGCACGAGCTGTTATTTGGATTTTTAAAATTGTATTTTTTTTACTTTTGGTTATCTGCGGTTTTCCTCCTGAATTATTTGCATATTGTCAATTTAGCCCCTCAACAATTTTATCAATAAATTAAGGACTCTAATTATTTAAAAATTGCCAATTGAGGACCTACCGTCAATTTTTTCAAATTCAATCCAAATTTCCTTCCAAATTAAGGGTAAATTCATAATTTTATAATTTAAAAATGAAAAATTCCAAAAAAAAAAAAAAATTAAGACCCATACAACCCCATCCCCACCAACTCAAAACCCTCTAATCTCTCAACATCCCAACCTCCAAAGACCCCGCCCTTCTGCCACCTCCTCTCGCCGCCTCGCCAACTACTCTGACGACGTCCCTTTGTCCTCTACTGCTCTCAAGTCCCTCTCCACCCTCCACTCCCTCCAGTTCTTCAACTGCCCAATAAAATGAAAACAAAAAAGAATGAAAACTTATTCTTTAGAGCGATAACAAACCCCAACCCTAGTTTGTTTAAAGACGGAGGGGGAAGAAGATTAGGTAGGTGAGGTTTTTATTTTCTCTTTTTTAATTTTTTTATATATAAAATTACAAATTTACTCTTTATTTGGACTGAAATTCGGATGGAATTTGAAAAAATTGATGGTAGGCCCTCAATTAGCGATTTTTGAACAATTGGAGTCCTTAATTTACCCAAAAATTTGTTAAGGGGCTAAATTGACAATATACAAATTATTCAAGGAGCAAAACTGCAGAAAACCCAAAAAAAAAAAAAAAAATTATGTTTGCACCATGAAATTGAGTGGAGTTAAAATGATGTTGAACCAAAAAACCAAAAATATAAAAGTCAATTCTCAATTGGAATTGGTTTGTATTGGGTAACGGTTGTGGAACATACAAACTGATGTAATTCAACTCGATTAAATATAGGCTTATTTATACCAATGCTCTTTGAAATTACAATCAAATCTCACGTTGTCCCCCCAAACATAAAATGGCCCACTTACCCCGTTTGACCCTGATTTGGTGACCCACTTTGCCCCTTACCGTCAACTCCGTCCAAAAGTCTGTTAAATATAATGACGTGGTAGGAGTGCTTTTGTAATTTCGTACACATGATCATTATTCACAATTGAAAGGTGACGTGGCAAGTAGAGCCTACCTATACATAGATAAGAATATTATTAAAACTAAAAAATTAAGTAAAATAGTAATAAAATACCATTTAAAAAAACTCTATCCTTCTCTCCTCCCTTCCCAACCTACCTATGAGCCACCCCCCCTTAGCAACCTCAGCCACCTCAATCTAAGAAAGCCAATCATGTATGAGATCAAAACAATTATGTAGGCAATATCAACGAGCATTGCAGGATTGGAGGGTCTGTATAAGGAGCCATAATTGATGGGCAGTTAGCTGTAAAGAACACCAAGGAAGATGTCACAAAGGAACTAAATATTCTATATAAGGTAAATCATGCAAATCTAGTGAAACTAATGGGCATCTTGTAACATCCCACATCGACCAACGAAGAGGGGGTGATATGCCTTATATGTACATGCCCACCTCCATCTAGCACGAGACCTTTTGGGAGCTCACTAGCATCGGAGTCATGGGAACTCCGAAGTTAAGCGAGTTGGGGCTAGAGCAATCCTAGGATGGGTGACCCTGATCCATTGGGAAGTTGCTCGTGAGTTCCCAGTAACAAAACCGTGAGGGTAGATATGGGGCCTAAAGAGGACAATATCATGCTACGGCGGAGTTGATCGTGGGATGTGACAATTTGTTATCAAAATCACTCTGCTGTATGGTGCAAGTGTGCCGAAGAGGGCTTCGGGCCCCTAAGGGGGGTGGATTGTAACATCGCACATCGACCAACGGAGAGGGGGTGATGTGTCTTATATGTACATGCCCACCTCCATCTAGCATGAGGCCTTTTAGGAGCTCACTGGCTTCGGAGTCATGGGAACTCCGAAGTTAAGCGAGTTGGGGCTAAAGCAATCCCAGGATGGGTGACCCTGACCCACTGAGAAGTTGCTCATGAGTTCCCAGAAACAAAACCGTAAGGGCAGAGAGGAGGGTCCAAAGCGGACAATATCATGCTACGGTGAAGCCGATCCAGGAATATGACACATCTCGTCTGACCATTTAGAGGCCTTTGGTTTTCCCATGCCTCACTTTGTCGCACCACCTTCTTTAAAACTCATTTTCCCAAATCAACAATGAAATCACAAAACCCTAACCCTCACCCACCCACCCCATCCTTAAGGATTAGATCCAACGGTGATGGTGATACGATTGAGAGCACAACTATGGTGTAGGAGGCAAGGATGGGGTTGGATATTGGTGGCTTGAGGAAGGGAGGTTATGGCTACAAGGAGAGGTTCGGGTAAAGAGAGAGAGACAGAGGGAGGGAAATATATATATTTTTTAGTTCTAAAAATTTTAAAGTTTTATTTTAATTTTTAAATTAGTTTTAATCATTAGAATATTTAATTATATTTTTATCTATGTGGAGGTGGACTCCACTTGATAGATCACCCCTCAATTGGTGAATAATGAATCATAAGTAAAAAATTACACAAACAACATTGCCACGTCATCATAGTTTACAAATTTTTGGACAGAGTTGACGCCAAACCACGATCAAGAGGGGTAAGTGGACCACTTTAAGTTTGGGAAGGCAAAGTGAAATTTGACCGTAATTTCAAGGAGCATTGGTGTAATTGAGCCTTAAATATACTTTCTTTTAAGAAAACAACCATTTATTAATAATTAAAAAAGAAAAGAAAAAAAATACAATCTTCGAAAACAACATATAGAAAATCAGGAGGCTTCTCAAACTAAGTGCAACATTCTCTAAGTAAATCAAGCTAAATGATGAGCTACATTATTAGCATCACATATGTTGGATTAAATATATCTCTTACCTTGATGAGCTTTAAACTCATGAGAACTATGATTAGTCCTAATCTACTATATAGAGCTCCCCATCACATTAGAAAGCCAAAAGCTTGTATGACATGTAGTCTTAGAGTTTAATGGGCCATCTGATAAAGTATTTGTTCCTTTTTTTGGTTTTTTCCCCTTAAATAAAGAGTACTGTAATTGTAATGCACACAAACAAATGAAGAAAAGTAAAGAAAACAAAATGGTTCAAAATTTCCAATAAAGCACACAAACAAGGAAAATTATGTTCAAATATCAAATATGGCATTAAAAAAGAAGAAGAAAGGTGTATTGTAATTTCTTGTTTTTTTTTTTTTTTTAACAAGCGATTGGAGAAGGGGGTTTAGACATATATTCATTGAGCTTTCAAACCTTCTCTGCTCACATGATTGGAGGTGGAAGAGCTCAATCAACTAAGCTATACTCCACTACCGTTTCTTGTTTATTTTTAATTTTAGAATAAGTCTTCTATTAGGATATATATTCCTAATATGGCTATTTCCTTTTATTTCTTTTTATTTTATATTTTTTTATTCTGCCAAAGTTAAGAAGGAAGAGGGGGGAAACTCACACACAAGAGTACCACAGAAGTTTAGGAGTTTAATATATTTTTCTTGTCAGTTGAGTTTTGAGAATACCTTGCAACTTTCGGTTTCCTAGGCTTAATTTATATATTTTCTATTTAAGCCAAGTTATGGAATTCCGTTCATCAGTTTATTCATGCTTTCAACAAAATTCGGAAACTTTTATATTTATTTTTTAGTGGATTCCAGTTCTTCTTTTAGGATTTGACGTTTGTGAATCATTTTTATCGCGTTTTCGTCAAAGAGAGAGAAATCC